TGGATACTTTCCCAATTGTTAATGATTCTGCAAATTTGGATCCCTGAACTCATGGCAAATTGAATGCATAGCACTGGTTGGATGTGCTACTTCTCCTCCAGCAACCTGACTCAGCATGTCTGTCTGCTGGTTACCTTGATGCTTAAGGCAGCCACATCAAACTGTTGCACTAAAGTAAGCTTTAAAACCACTTGAAGGTCTAGGGTGTTGCTCAGTGGTAGCATGCTTGCTCAGCATGCTAGATGGCCCTGGATTTGCTCTCCAGCACCAAAAGCAAAACCAGAACAAAAGCAAAACACTGTCACACACTCATGCATCACTAAATGACAAGCTGAGTTGATTCTATCACTGCAGGAGCATCGGAGTGTACTTAACACAGCTGAAGTGGCTCTGGTGTCACTCAATGGTACCAATCACATACGGATCTTTCACTGACCAAAATGTTGTTATGCATGACTGGTTCGTCCTATGTCCCCACCAGAATCTGCAAGGCTCAGGTCTAAAATGAGCATACAAATGCATTTCTGTGTTTTTGTTTTCTCCACTAGTTGGTAATAGTGTCTAGCCTACTAAATACAATCAGCTGTGCACATTTTAGCAGTTTCTAAGGGTGAAAGCATCTAGTCTGGGTTGCAAAGACTTATCTCTTTTCCTTACCTTTTCTTCTCAGAATTTGGGGCTTCCCACTCCCGGTCGGCATCTTGGATGTACCACTTTATCACAGGTCTAAAGAGCTTTTCGAAGCCAAATCGTGCTTTGCAGCGAAGAGTTAAAGACTTTCCTGACAATAAACAAGTCCAAGAAAACAGGAAGGAAGAATATGAGAAAGCTTTGTCCCCTGATGGGGAGGAAGACATGGCCAGGAGACAATTTCTGCCCAATTGGCAGAAGAAAGCTTGTAGGCCAGAAATAACCAAATGCTGACACATCTCGTTAAGAAACACAATGGTCCTTGTGTGTTCGTCTCTCATGGGCAACACTCATATCTCAAAAATGTTACTGTCTGTTCTCAACATGAAGATTAACACAGTCATGTGTGGTTTGAGCAAGACATCAGGGAAATGAGAGTTTTAGTGACCAGCATGGTCGTTGACACCACTATAGAATACAATGTGCATCAGTAAAGAATATTTTACTAACCAATGTTTGCATATTAAATGACATTCATAAGGTTCCTATAGCATGTAATTTAAAAAAGAAGTTATTTAGATACTCAGTTGTGTTTTATGAATAAGGTACCATGGATTGGCATTCTTATTATTAATGACTATCCCCTTTCTACCTACCATCTCCAAAAGAAATATCCAGAAACGCTCTGCCTCAAACACTATTTAACCAGGAAATGTTCAGGGCCTCCAATTGAAAAGTAATTTTTGCATGTTAAAAGTTTTCCTACCAATAATGCTTTAAAGCTTACTCATGCCATATGTAACTTGACTACATATTTCAAATTAATCTTTTTCTTTCTTCTTTCTTTCATTCTCATGTTTCCTGTATTGCTGGCACTATTTCTGTCTTCAGGACATGCTGCTATGGCCACCCAGTGATCTTATACCATAGTATCTCTTTTTACATTTCTATAATAACAAATCTTATATTAGCATTTAAGAGAGCACATATTTTATTGAAAAAGAAACCATTTGGTGTTAAACGTATCCATTCTTTGGCTTTAGGAAAAGACATAAGTGTTATTGAACTTGACAAAACGAAAGGAGGCAAAACAGGGGATGTCAATTTCCCCTGTACCCCGCAAATGACACCATTTTGTAATACGTTTGCATGGGGTTTGTAGTATTTTCCACTATATTTCTTGTAAAGACCAATATCATATTTATAAGGGTAATGCCACTCAAGGTGGTATATTAATAAACAAAACCCACGTGTATAACCTCTTCTTCCTAGGAGAATCTAAAATCGATTGATCATGTCCAATGCACCATTCGTTTATCATCCATTGCTCCATAATACTCAATAAAGCCCTGTCAAATCAATTTTATGATGCCTATTAGCAGATGTAGGGACTGGATCTTAGGAGGATTTAGTAACTGTGCAGGGTCACAGAACTAGGCAGACCTGAGTTAGGATTCATACCCAATTCTGCTTCATCAAACCCCTAGTTTTCTTTTCCTAATCATTTAGACCTGCTCTAGAAGCCCAGTGTCATTCAAAGAAGAGAACACGGATGAGCTTACCAAGTTCTACTTCCAGTGTGTCCTGGACGGGATCCAGAATATCTGGCTTGAATTTAGTGTCTTCCACTAAAAGATGAATATAAAAATAAAAACGTAAAAATAAAAATCATGATTTGCATGGGGAATTCTGAAGGCCTGCTGGCTGAAGATTTGGGGTCCTTCGATGGGTCCTCAATGTTTTAGTGCCCCCTCTTCACATCGTATCCATAGTCCGTAAGTCTAGGAACTCAGGTTTCCGTGTGGAACTTGTGACCTTGGGATATGGGAGTCATGAAAGCATTAGTCCTTGACTAATCCACATCTGCCTGGGAGCATTTCCTTCCACCCGGATGCTGCTCACCCATTGCAGACCTGTAGCCCCATGTTGATCTCTACCACTAGATTCCCTTTTAATATCCTTTGCCTGAAAAACCCAATGGAAGGGAGAAACTGTGAAGCAGATCTGCGTTCACTCCCTCCCTCCCTCCTTCAATTCAGGGATTGTTGCAAAACAAAGGAGAGTCCGGCTCTTTGCTGGTCATGGTATTCTTCATCTTCCTGCCACAGAACTTCAAAGGTGGCCCCACTGTCAGCCTTCCTCCTGAAGGTGTCCTGTCTCCTGGTAAAGGGGACGTCATGGCCTTTGCTCTCCACATCACATTGATTCTCACAGGGCGTCTTCCTAATTTACGTCAACTTTGAATCTTTCACGTCTCCCTCTCCTTCTGTTTCTCCCTCGGCTTCTCCTCATCAGTATTTGCCTACACCTAGTCTCTTTGACTTAAAGTAAGAAGAGGGAAGGAGAATACCCCCCCCTTATTCCTGCCGGATGCATTCTTCTTCCTTCCCAGGAAGGGAAGGAAAGGGCTTTGTGGGATGGTTTCCTTCCCCCCCACCTGCCATGGAGTCTCATTTCTTCTCTCATTGCTCCATTGGAGCTGCTTTGGCTGAGGTTCATCTAAGTCTATTGGGTGACATATGTACTCTACTGGTGGGCAGTACTGCCCGCGGCAGGCATCCCCCTTAGAACCCCGCTCTTCCTTGATATCATGTCTCTGTACTCTCTACTCACTCTCAGCCTCAGTCTTTAGTCCCCTGTGTCCTTGTAGGTTCCCCTTCCTCTGTGCCTCTGCCGATTATCGCCTCTCTCCCCAGATCTCCTATTGTTCTTTCCCTCTTCCTGCTCTCTTCAGGTAGTAGAGTCCACACTTAGGACTCTTCCTGACAAAAGATCTTGGCTCCCAAACTGGTGTCTCTGCTACCTTACCAAGTTCACTTCTTCTGCTGTTCTCTCTTCTCTTCCACTGACACCCCCTTGCCAGTCCTCCTCTGTGCCACTTGTTTACTTGTTAGCAATCCTCCAGGGTTCAGATCTAGGTCCTCCCCAGATCTCACCCTGTTCCTGGGTTTGAGACATCGTGTGAAGTTGACCAGTCTCACCTCCACGCCTTCAGCCCTAACATCTCCAGGCTGGAGGGTCCAAATACCTATTTTTCATCATGACTTGGGTGACTCAGAGTCCTTTCAAGTTGATATTTAACTTCATCATCAGACTTTCTTCTTCTTCTGTCTTTTATACTTATTAAGTAATGTTACCATTAACCAATGTATCCTGATCAGAGAATTAAAATGTTCTTGATTTCCCTTTTTGATCTGCCTTCTGCATAAAATCATGTTCTATCCACATAAAATGTGTTCCACATGAAATCATGTTCTTCCACACGCACACAGAAAAAATCATGTTCCATCATGTTCTATTGACTCACAAATTTAACCACTTTAATTACCTCTACGAAGTCTCTTCATAGAGAAACCAGAGGCATATATAAATATAT